AGAATGGGCGGGGCCAGGGCCTGGTGGGGGCGTGGTCAAGGTCTGGCCCGGGCTGGCGGAAAGGGCGGTGGATTGTGAAGGGGTGAGGGCGGAGCTGATGCGCAACCCTAGGCGGGGGTACCGCCAGGACTTCAGGACACGCCCTTCAGGACACGCCCACGACGTGGTGTGGAAAGCAGAGCCCAGGCTTCTGAAAACCATTAGCAGTTATCATCGCTCTGTTATCATCGCTCTGCCCTGACCAACACTTTTTAGAGTAAAGCCTCTAGAACAGTGGTTCTCAACCTTCCTAATGCCGCCACCCTTTAATACAGTTCCTCATGTTGTGGTGACCCCCAACCATAAAATTATTTTCATTGCTACTTCATAACTAATTTTGCTACTGTTATGAATCGTAATGTAAATACCTGATATGCAGGATGTATTTTCATTGTTACAAATTGAACATAATTAAAGCATAGTGATTAATCACAAAAACAATATGTAATTATATATGTGTTTTCCGATGGTCTTAGGCGACCCCTGTGAAAGGGTCTTTCGACCCCCAAAGGGGTCGCGACCCACAGGTTGAGAACCGCTTCTCTAGAACAACAAATGATTCTCACAGTGTGGTTCCCGGACTAGCAGCAGCAGCATTGCCGGGGAGCCTGCTAGAAGTGCTGATTCTCCATCCCACTCAAGATCTACAGGATCAGACGTAGGGGGTTAGGGGGAGAGAGAAGGGCCTGGGCGCACAGCAGTCCGTGTGTTAATAAAGCTGTAAAACGCAGTGAGAGCCGCTGACCTAGGGTAACTGAACTCGGAGGTGTCCAGAGCAAGCACCTTTAGAGGTTCCTTGTTTCGAAAAGAATTGATGTTTGAAGTGGTAGGAGATGTGAATCCCTGACGCTCATGGTGAACAAGATTTCCTGGCTCCGCTAGACTTCCGGTAAAATTTATTGAAATCCCTAAACTTCCATCTCTATGCAAAACCGTAAAAATAATACCACGCAGAATTGTCTATAGGCTTAAATCGGACATTCTATTGTATTTTATACAGCATCTTTGTTCTTAAAATTTTTGCCTAGATGCTTCCTAAAAGCATTTTTTTACAACCATAGATATGTATATACTTTCATTTTTGTATTGACATCTAAAATTTTTATCTTTAAAGGATTAAATTTCTTGGCTGGCGTAACTCAGTAGTTTTGTGTCGACCTATGAACCTTGAGGTCACAGTTCGATTCCCGCTCAGAGCACATGCCTGGATTGTGGGCTCGATTTCCCAGTGTGGGGTGTGAAGGAGGCAGCCAATCAATGAATTCTCTCTCTCGTCATTGATGTTTCTATCTCTCGCTCCCTCTCCCTTCCTCTCTGAATCAAATTAAAAAAATTTTTTTAAAGAATTGTTATAAATATTCACATTTTTAAATTATCTCTATTAAATTGGAAAAAGGAGTTTAAATACCATAGTGGTGTGATGAATGTCATCAAGCATTTTTAAATACATAAACTTCGTGCAAAGCTGGAATTCTTGTTCTGTCTTCTGTGCCCCTTTGGGGATTAGGACCTGTAGTCATGAAGAACCAGAGTTTGTGGGAATGGGAAGCACAGAGTCTCCCGGTGGATCATTAGGAGTGAAAGTCAGAGGTACTATTCCTGTGTCCACTCCCAGACCTATGCTTTATTCTAGTTGAAGCCATAGGACCATGTAAAAGGCTTTGATTTAATGAGAATAGTAAATCCTTAAGGATAGCACCATATTCTTTTTTAAAAATCTTCACCTGAGGATGTTTTTTCCATTGATTTTTAGAGTGGAAGAGAGAGGGAAAGACAGAGAAATATCAATGTGAAAGAAACACCTGTTGGCTGTTAATTTGTAACTAAAAAATGTTCATATTTCTTTCCCACTCCCATATGCGTCTATATACCTCTGTTCCAGACCTTTTTGTCCCTAATCGTATTTTTTCAGTTCATGCCTCTGACCAGTTGGCCAGACCTTTCATCACTGCCCATAATTCCATATATAGTATCTTCTCCTCTCTTTTCTTCCTAGGTGAATGACATGTTGCACCACTGAAGATCTGCCCACTGAAATGGTCTTCCCTTGCCACCATGTTTCAAGACTGCCCATAAATAAGGCTTCAATTCAGCTGCTACCCAATGTAGCTTTACCCACATACTGAGCCATCTCATTTGTAGATCAAACTTGGGTTTTTTTCTCCTCCTCCATCTGATCACATAGGATCACCCCCAAAAGCCAATTTGTTAGCTGAGGAAAAAGCACTAGGTGATGCTATAGGGATCTGGGCTACTTCCTTATGCTTGCCTCTACCCTGCGATCCTTAAGGCTTGGTGGTGTAACAAGACCTCACTGATAATCGGCAGTATTGGGGAAACTGAGTTCTGGACATACCTTTTCAAGGATTTTGTACAGCAAACCTTGGAAGGTAGAGACAGTCTCACTCTGGAATAGAAGGCCTCCTCCAGGGCAAAGGTCAAGCAGGCTTGGTTGCATCCCATCATAAAAGATTCAACTTTCCTAGACTCAGATTCTTTGGCTGTGACCTAAGATTGTGAAATACAGTCTTACAATTTCTTTTAGAAGTTTATAGTTATAGTCTATAATTCACTTCAAATTTGTAAGGTAAAGGTGAGATCATTTTTTCCCATATGGATAACAAGTTCTAGCACCATTTGTGGAAAACACTGTTCTTGCCCCATTGAATTATTTTGGCACATTTGTAGACAATCAGTTCATTATGTATGTATAAATGTATCTAGAGGGCTTCTATTTTTTTCCCATCGAATTAGATGTCTCTCCTTATGTCTGGATTACTATAGCTCTATAGTAAGTCTTGAAATCAACGAATGTAAGCCTTCCAACTGTTTTTCTTTTTCAAATTGTTTTGGCTAATCTGGATCCTTTGCATTTCCATATAAAATTTAGAATCAGCTTTTCAGTTTCTTCAAATGTCATTTAGTTTTTCTTCAAAATTTCTCAATATTTTGTAGTCCTACAAATATTTTATTACATTTACTCCTAAGTATTTCATACTTTTCAGTTAAATTGTATTGTTTTGAATCTCAAGTTTTCATTACTAATCTGTAGAACTCTATCCTCTTTTTGTAAACTGACCATGAGTCTTGTGACTATGCTAGGCTCATATATTAGTTCCAACAGTGTGTGTCTGTGTGTATCTTAGGCTTTTCTACATCTGCATCATGTTAATTGCCAAAAAGGACAGTTTTATTTCTTTTCCAATATGTATATTTTTATATTTTGCCTTATTGCACTAGTTAGGACCTACAGTATAATGTGAATAGTAGTGAGAATAGGTATTCTTGCCATGTTCCTGATCTTAGGAAGAAATAGTTCAGTCTTGTGCCATTAAATATTGTTAGCTATAGGTTTTTCATAAGTACCCTGTATTACATTAAGGAAGTTTCCTTCTATTTTTAGTTTGCTAAGAATTTTTTATCTTTTTGTTGTTGTTGTTAATCCTCACCCAAGGATATTTTTCCATTTATTTTTAGGGAGAATAGAAGAGAGAGGGAAAGATAGAAACATCAATGTGAGAGAAACACATTGATTGGTTGCCTCCTGCACAAGCCCTTAACAGGAATCGAATCCAGGACTCTTTGGTCCACAGGCCGACACTTTGCACTGAGTCAAACCGGCTAGAGCAAGAATTTTTTTATCTTGAACAGATAACTCTTTGTCAATTGATTTGCCTGCATATATTAAGATGACTATATGGGTTTTCTTTCTGATAATATGAATTACATGCATTGATTTTTTAAAATATGGGAGAGGGATAGAGAGATACCAGGTAGAAACATCAATGATGAGAGAGAATCATTGCTTGGCTGCCTCCTGCACACCCCACACTGGGAATAAAGCCCGCTAGCTGGGCATGTGCCCTGACCGGAAATCAAACTAGTGACTTCTTGGTTCCTGGGTAAATGCTCAAATGCTGAGCCATGCTGGCCAGGCCATGCATTGATTTTTAAATGTTAACCCCATCTTAAATTAAAATCTTAACAGATGAACTACACTTGATTACCATGCATTATCCTTTCTACAGATTGCAAGAATTGACCTGATATTCTCTTAAGTATTTTTATCTTTGCTCATGATAGATAATGGACTGTAGTTTTTTTGTATTTTGTTTTGCAGAGGTGAGGGTGAGGGTAGGATTATATGCCTTTCAATATTTTTTTCTATTGGCTGTAGAATCTTAAATTCTAGATTTCCCCAAGTCTTTTTTCCTCCTTCACCATCCAGTCTCCAAAGTGACTGCATTTTCATACTCTTCTCTAGCAGCAATGCCTGCTGAGATTGCCACATCAAATGCCGCACACTAAGTCCGTTTTTCTGTATGCAGTACTCTGATCCACCCAAACTCTTTTTCAGTATTTTTGCATGTAGGATGGGCTTTTTCTTTCTGGGAATCCTTTTATTATTATTAGTTCAATCTTAGGTTCTCCATTCACCTACTCTTTCTCAATTTTCCCGGACTCTCCTTGCTCCTGCAAAGGCTTACTATAAAAACTTAAGAGATACCTCTGCTGGAATTTGTTTTTTATATTTCTCAGAATTTGAAGTTTGTAGTGTTATCTGTCTTGTAGATATCTTAAAGAAATGGGATTGCTGTGAGGTTGTATTTATTCTTGTATATGTGTATGTGTGGAGGTGTTTTGCAGGACAGGAAGATAAATTCAAATATAGTTAACTGTCATTACCTTAGGCACCCTATAAATCCAGATTCATCCGTTTTGGATTTGCTTTACCATTCATCCATTAATTTTCCACCTTCCAAATTTGTATTGTTTATCTCCTATTTCCTTTATCCTTGTAGGGTTTTTTTTGTCCTTGTAGGTTTAAGCAAAGGTTAAAGTGCTATACTCTGAGGATGATGGCCATAAGCCAAGGAACACCACTAGAAGCTGAAAAGATATGGAAATAGATTTTCCTTACAGAACATCCAGAAGAAATCATCCCTGCTAACATTTGACATTAGCCCAGTGAAACTGATTTCAAAAAATTTCTGACCTCCAGAATTGTAAGAGGAAATTTATGGGTTGTTAGTCACTAAATCTGTGGTAATGTACACCAGCAATAGGAACAACTTGGTCACTTTGTTGTTTTTTAATCCTCATTCGAGGATATTTTTTCATTGCTTTTTAGAGAGAATGGAGAGAGGGGGAAAGACGAAGAGGAATATCGATGTGAGAGAAACACATCCATTGGTTGCCTCCTGCATGAGCCCCGACCAGGGCCCGAGCCGGGGAGGAGCCTGCAACTGAGGAGCCATTGCCCGGAAATGAACCTGGGACCCTTTGGTCTGCAAGCCGATGCTCTATCCACTGAACCAAACTGGCCAGGGCCAACATGGTCATATTTAAATGCAATGATTACCTTAAAGGGAGACAAGGCAAGGTATCTAATGTTATAATCAATACCACCTACCAATTAAATACTTTATAACAGAGGTAATTAGATTTAGGATATAAGCTATTCACTTCAATTGCCTCTCTTATTAAAAGATTACCCCATTGCCAGGGAAGTACAGGTTTCACTTTTGTAAGAGATAATCTAACCACTGAGTTGTTTTTTTAAAAAATATATTTTTATTGATTTCAGAGAGGGAGAGGGAGAGATAGAAACATCAATGAGGAGAGAGAACCATTGATCGGCTGCCTCCTGCACACCCCCCACTGGGGATCGAGCCCGCAACCCCGGCACGTGCCCTTGATCGAAATCGAACAGGGACCCTTCAGTCCACAGGCTAGTGCTCTATCCACTGAGCCAAACCAGCTAGGGCAGTACTGAGTTTCTTGAATAAGATTTGTCCCTTTATTTAAAATCTGTGTTGCTTAACATGTAATGTATAGTCCCTTGTTTAATAATTTATAATTTATTAATCTTTCAGTGCACTTTTATGATGGAACTCCATACCTGTTGCCCAATATTTAAACACACATAGCAAACTAACAATATGCCAATAGTTCTTTCATTAAAGTGAAAATAAAATTTATTACAACGCTGTATTTCTCACCTCTGATCCTTTAACATTATTTCATTTGATCCCTAAGCCATCATAAACATTGCTATTTTACAGATGAAGTCACTGGAACCAGATAAAGTGTCTCATTCAAAGTCATTGAGCTAGTTGATAGCAGAAAGGTAACTTGAAGCCAGATCTTTTGTTCCAGGTGTATGCCCTTTCAACTCTATCATATTCTATTAGAGATATATGACAGTATCTCAAAATCTTGCCCAATACTGTTCCTCAAACTGTTATACCCCAAATAAAAGTTCTAGATGATCTGCATATTTCCTTTCAGATGTAAAATTTACTGCATTGTTTTTAGTGTGTTTTTTTTCCAACCTCTTTGACACTGTGTTCACATAAGCACATTCTCAAGTGTTTTCCCATCTGTAAAATGCCTCTGTGATATTTCCTGAAAGTATTCTGACCAAAAAAAAACCAAAAAACTTAAATAAAATTCTGCAAGTATTGTTCTAGGTTGAATTAAACCCATATTCACCTTTTCTAATCACAGATTCATGTGAGTGATTTGGCATACTATTTTTCTTCTGAAAATCATGATATGTTAAAAGATTTGGGCTATCGCCCAGCTGGCATGGCTCAGTGGTTGAGTGTCGACCTGTGAACCAGGAGGTCAGGGTTCAAATCCTGGTCGGGGCACATGCCCGGGTTGCGGGTTCAATCCCAGTGTGGGGCATGGGGAAGGCAGGCAGCCAATCAATGATTCTCTCTCATGGTTGATGTTTCTATCTCTCGCCTCCTCTCCCTTCCTCTCTGAAATCAATTAAAAATATATTAAAAAAAAGATTTGGGCTATAAGTTAAAGTTGAATAATATAAGAAGGCACCAACTTTCAAAAAGAATTTTATTAGAAAATAAACTGATGAACAAAACAGATCCAGAAACATTGAAACATGCAACAGACTGACATATTGCAGAGGGAAGGAGGGGAGGGTGGGAAGAGATTAACCCAACAATTTATATGCATAGCCCATGGACAAACAAAAGTGCTGGGAAGGCATAAGGAGGGGGCAGGCGTGTGGTGGAGGGAGTCAACAGGAGAGGGGAAAGGACGGCATCTGTAATACTTTCAACAATAAAGATTTTTTTAAAAAAGAATTTTGTATCACTAGAGCATGGATAATGAAAATTCATAATTTTTCTTACCCTTCCCTTAACTCTTCCAATCTTTGCAAAATTACAATAGAATCACCTTTGAATGGATGCAACGTTTGAAAATGCACTAAACACTATGTAGGTAAAGGGTTTTATAAGAATTGAAGAAACTCAAAATTATTAAAAGTTCAGTAGTGAAAAATGTTAAAGTAAAAAAATTCATAATAAAGTTTTTAAAAATCATTTAATCATTAACTGAACGATATATGGTGAGAAATATATAAGCCCCAGTATTACTGTGTAAAACAAACACATTTATTTGATGCTTGGGATGGTGTTATGGACGTATTTCACATCACAAAAGCAAGGTGGCCATAATTAAGCCTTTAACTGACCTGCTTGAATTGTCCAGTGACTGAGCAATTTTACCAGATGAATTAATGCAGGAAGTTTCCAATTCTAGCAAAGTGTCTTCAAATAAAGTATAGAACAGTGCATACATGGTGCTAGGCTAGAAAACGGTTAATGCTCATTTCTATTGTCCTGTCACTCTGGATCTAGAGACAAAAGTACTAGCAAGAACCTGAAACAGAGCTTGGGTTCTGTCTTATTATGGATTAGGTTCTATTAACCTTATCAAAAACAGAAAGATTAGGTCAACACTTAGACTACCAAAAGTTGATGAATAAAAGATTTTAATTATGAAAGAAAATAAAATACCAACCTAATGTAGTGTTGTTTAACTACAAGTGGAGATTTTCTGGCTTATGAACATTTTCTGGGGTGGGGGTTGGGGGGTGGGGAATGTAACCATGTTTCTGAGGTGGCTTTAAAACAAAAGGTGGCTTTAAAAGCTTTATACCACCCAGCTGGTGTGTTCAGTGGTTGATCATCGACCCATGCACTAAGACAGTGGTTGGCAAACTCATTAGTCAACAGAGCCAAATATCAACAGTACAACGATTGAAATTTCTTTTGAGAGCCAAATTTTTTAAACTTAAACTATATAGGTAAGTACATTGTTATTAACTTAATTAGGGTACTCCTAAGCTGGCCTTTGTTAAAAACGTCCTCAATCTGATTGAGGTACGTTCGCTGAGATCAACCCCTTCCAACGCTCCCATCCACACTCGTCTTGTATACTTGTTTCAGATAGACGAGTGTGGATGGGAGAGTTGGAAGGGATCGACCTCAGGGAATGTACCTCAAAACAATGTACCTCTCCCGCTCTGTGTATCCCTCGGCCTGCCTGCGCCGCGTCTCCCGTCGCCCGACCGATACCCCCCACTTCTCCTAATGCCACTTCTTCAAGATACTCGCCCAGGCCGAAAACCGACTTCTGTGCATGGGCCACAAAGTTTCAATCGCACTGTACGTGCGCGCCCGCACGTGGTATTTTGTGGAAGAGCCACAGTCAAGGGGCCAAAGAGCCGCATGTGGCTCGCAAGCCACGGTTTGCGGACCACTGCACTAAGAGGTCATCGGTTGACTCCTGGTCAAGGCACAAGCCAGGGTTGCTGGCTCAGTCCCTAGCAGGGGGCATGAAGGAGGCAGCTGTTTGATGTTTCTCCTTGATGTTTCTATCCCCCCCCCCTTCTCCCTTCCTCTCTCTAAAAAAAAATCAATAAAAACATATTTTTTTTAAAAAGGCTTTATATCTGTTGTTACATATGACAAAAACTGGTCATTTAACATAACATTTTTCTAATGCACACAGGACTACAGAAGAAATTCTGCTCACAAGAGAAAGAAGCAGTGATCAATTTGCTGCTTAACAAATATTGTATTCAATTCCTTTTTAAAAAAATATATTTTATTGATTTTTTACTGAGAGGAAGGGAGAAGGATAGAGAGCTAGAAACATTGATCAGAGAGAAACATCAATCAGCTGCCTCCTGCACACTCCCTACTGGGGATGTGCCCACAACCAAGGTAAATGCCATTGACCAGAATCGAACTTGGGACCCCTCAGTCCGCAGGCTGACACTCCATCCACTGAGCCAAACCGGTCAGGGCTGTATTCAATTCCTTGCCTACTCAAATAACTTAACCAAGGTTAAGATCAGACTTTATGAATTGAGAATTACAAATCAATCGAAGAAAGTAACATCATCTTTTAATTTGATTCAAATCCATTTTCATGTACAAAGCTAACTATATACAAAATAAATGTACATTCTTAAAAACTTTTAGAATACAAATTTCCAAAGGACTAAAAAAAGTGCAAAATTTTCAATTATTATCTTCAATCATGCTATACAGAAACAAATAAAACATTAGCTCATATACACACTGAAAAATTTTAAAACAGCACTGATGTAACAAAACAAAACATACATCTTATATATTTAAATTTAAAAGGATGAGGAAGGGAAGAATGTATTGCACCAAATTAACAGTAACTTCATTATAATGAGACTATTAATCAAAATTATTTATACATCTTTATTACATTTAAAACTTTCTCAACTTTAAAACCTTTTTTTGGCATACAAATATTCATTGAGTCACAGTTTGCACAGTCAATAATTAGATATAAATAAGGCTTAATATTCTTTTCCATGGTCCATTCCAGTAGAAAAAATGAGAAGGAACTTTTATGCTAACTATATAACTTTTTGAATTAAATATTTAAATAGCAGCACAAATTGCAAGTTTTTTTAAATGTAATTTCAGATTTTCAGTTATCCTCCTCTGAAATGACTGTGTATATGATGTATATACACACACATATTCAAGTCACTGTCACCATCTATGAAAACACTGAAATGCTTCCATTTAATCTGGGTCCCAAAAAACTGACATAAAAGACAAATAATTTGTTTGATAATTTTCTGTCTTAATGCATGCACTTCTACAACAATTTTCCTCCAAGTCTTTAAAAGCAAACAGTTGGGGGAAGAAAAGCCATACCTGTTAGGAGATCTAAAGAGAACAGACCAACCCTATAATTTACTAACAATTTTTCTTATGTAAAGCTAACTATAAAACAAACAGTCGCCACAAAAAAATTTTGGTTATGGTATTTATGAATCACAGAAAGCAGTAATAAAACAGAGTAAGAAAAAAAAAGTCTAAAATAGAAAAGATTTTAAACAGTAAGATCTATTATATGCCATAATTTTGGGAAAAGTATAGAAACTATTATAATTAAATAATTTAAAAGTTATCCAAGAAAAGCAATCAAAATCCCAAAGGAAGAAATAGTTAATTCTCTGTAATCCCTAAATAAGAAACTAAGAGGTTGAAATTCTTTGCAGTTAAGTCTCAAAACTGGTATTTCCTTACCAGAACCAGTTTCTAAAGTGTTCATTAATATGATTTTAACATTCTGAAGAGCAAAATAATGTCTATTTCAGATAAATTTTTCCCTTCAAAATGCAAAAGTATCTGTTGAATTTGTAGGTGAGCCCACTAAGTCTCCAAACACATTGCTAATAGAATATTGCAAAATATTTCCGAGAAGGAACATCAAAAATAGCATTTTAACAATAATTAATATACTGGCTACCAGAGAACCTCTAATTTTAATACAAATTAAACTGAAATATGTTATTACCAAAATAAAATTTTAAAAGGTCCAATTTGATTAAGACTTTTAAAAAAAAGTTAGATTTTAGTCAAAATATAATTTTATTTTCCAATTTCATCTAAATCCTAACCTCTTCTATTCCCAAATTACAACATGACATTGAAAAATATTAAAAATAGTTTATCACTTTCTATACTCAAAAATAGTTATAAATTAAAATAATGCGACAGCTATATTTTAAGTGAAAATACACACACACACACACACACACAATTTCACTAACAGTCAAATGTGAAAAATGAATGGGTAATTCTTTCTTTCAGTGACAAATTTTTGGTTATTATCATTATGATAATATTTGCAAAATAAGTTTTCAAGGAAACATGTTAAAACTATACCATGGAAAACAAGTTGAAACAGTGACTTTCTACTTGTTCTATTCCTTTGTATTTTCAGTTCATAAGATTATAGACATTAAGACAAAAGTAAATACAGTTATATCTTTTTTTCAATAAAACCATTAGTTTCATAGTTCAAAATCCTGCAATGTATTTAGAAATCACCCACATATGACAAATGTGAGATAATCCAAGGTGTGTCTTGAAGAGTTACTATTACGTACCAGAAAAATATTTGATAACGTAGCCACTTTTACACAAGGTTCTTAAATTGGAGAAAATAACTTAAATCCCATAATCAAGCATGGCCTTATATTATTAATGTAGAAAATTGAATCATTTCCGCTACAGGTAAAAATATCTTAAATGTTAATGCTTTATTTTCTGTAATACTAGGACTTTACATATGAAAAATTAAAAATTATTTCCATATAGAAGCTATACTTGCCAAAGTCATCAGATGTGGATGGACTTTATCAATGCCTTTTAATTAGGAAAATTCTATTGATTACTAGAGCTTCAAGGTTATAGAGGTCTAATTCTATTTTGTCACGCTTTTTATTAAAACTTTTAAATGTTACCTAATTCAAATATGCAAGTATTCACTGATAGCCACTAGGAATACTTTTGAGGGCAACTATTAGTTACAAGTTTCAAATATGAAAGGTCTTAAGAGGGCTTATAATAATAATGCAACTAAAAAGGAAATTTAGTTGTTTCTATAGCATGCAATACAAAGAACCCATTCCAAGCAAATTCTAGATAAAATGTCTCATTTAAGGATAATGATTAAAACTATTCTCAAATAACCCTGTGAATATTAGATTTGATTTATAAAAATGAATGAATTTTTATAAAGTATTTTAAAATTTAATATAATCCTGAGACATTATTTTATATCAAGATCAAGTAAAGTCATTCAGAAAGTCCAGAGTAGTGCCAAGATTTCTGTACATTTATAAAACCTCAGTAAGTCTGATTTGCAATCTCAATTAAGAAACAGTGGCCTAATCAGGCCAGGGTGGCTCAGTGGTTGAGCGTCGACCCATCAACCAAGAGTTCACAGGCTGGATTCCGGATCAGGGCACATGGCCAGGTTGTGGCTAGATCCCTAGTAGGGGGTGTGCAGAAGACAGCCAATCGATGTTTTTTTTCTCTATCCCTCTTACTACCTCTCTAAAAATCAATACAAACATATTTAAAAAAAAAAAAAGCTCAGTTGATTGGAGTGTCATCCTATACACCAAAAGGTTGCTGGTTCTATTTCCAGTCAGGGCACATATCTAGGTTGTGAGTTTGATCCCCAGCTAAGGCACACACAGGAGGCAACCGATCAATGTTTTTCCCTCTAAAAATCAATAAAAGTATATCCTTGGGTGAGAACTAAAGAAAAAGAGCCCTAACCAGTGTTTCTTAGTGGTTAGAGCATTGGCACGTGCACCAGAGGGTCCCAGGTCCGGTTCCCAGGTATGATTACCTGGGTTGCAGGTTTGATTCCCTTGCAGGAAGCAACCAATTGATGTGCCTCTCATATCTGTCTCTTTCTCTTTCTCTCTCTCTCTCTTTTTTTCT